ATATGGCCAGATTCTTACTGCTTATACAACAGGGAATAGGATACACAAATGAACCCCAGGCCTCAACTTCCTCATCTGCAAAATAGGGCAACCAATTCAGTCCATGAAGACCAAATTCATGAACAGCAGCTGAATCTCCGGCTGGCACTGGCGCAAGTATCTTAAACAGTGGGGACTGCTGTGGGCTGCTCCGCGCTGGCGGACAAGCAGGCCCCACGTTCCTGCATGGAGAACAAAGCCCTCCGACTAACGGCCATCAGAACCAAGGAAAGCCCGACATTATCCTGTCCACCCCACCCCCCAGTGCCAAGTGAACACTGGGGCCCGGAGAAAGGCATGTATTAGCGCGAGTCACCCAGTACTTTGTCAGTGGCAAAACCAGGCCCACGCCCACCGCTTTTCTCTGCTGTACCCTTAAATTGCTGATGTGGTCCCAGGCACAGGGCAGAGCGGGGAGAGGGGGAGCTGAGAGCAGCAGGAACTGAGGCTGCCTGTGGTCTCCCAACTCACAAACCACATCAGGCTGAAACACGACACACACGCTCACTCAGCTCAAAGAGAGAAGATATTTTTACTTAGGCCTAAACACTGGTCTCTTTCTTTCCCTCCCCCCCAAAATGCATAACTCTTGGGACCTGCATTTTCTTGCTTCTAAAGGCATTTTCTCAGAGAATAACTGCGGGGCAGAGGGGTTCACTTTTCCTGGCTCCCCCAGAAAGTTTTCCAGAACGCGGGCTCAAATGGTGAAAGGAGGGGGACTGGTCCTGGCTGGGCCCCCAACTCAACAAGTGAGCTTGGGCAAGTCTTATGTTCTCTGAAATGGAGGAAAAACGGACCCTCCCTCCGGAGTCCTGCTGGTCGTATTACAGAAAAGTATGCATTTCAAACGGCCCTGGGAGGCCCCTCCAGGCCTCTGCTGCAGGACTGAGCTCCCGAGCCATGCACACTGACTCATGGCCATCGCCACAGCCACAGCAGAACTCCCCTATCAGTTCTCATGTCAGGACTAGAAGGAACCTTCAGGAGAATGTTTGCAGTGATTAAGATCCATGGCTCTCAGACTTCCAGAATCCTGGCACCAGCACCAAGTAGCCTTATAACCCGAGGTACATTATTTAGCCTCTCCAAGCCTCAGTTACCTCATCTGTAAAAGGGGATCATAGCACACAGGGGATCAGAGGAATGGTTGTGACGAATCCACAAAGTAATTCATGTTCCAGTGCTGGGTATGCTAAAAAGGTCGTTTTCTATGCTCATGATGCAGATCAACATCCCCCCATTTTACAGATGAGGAAACTGAGGCCCAGAGAACCAGCATTTGCCCCGGGTCACTCAGAAGAACAAACATTGTGGCTCCACTCCCAAGTTAGTACTTTTAACTCCTCTCAGTCCTGTAGTCTCAAATCAGCAAATATACACCCTCAGATTGGAGGTTTAGGCTATAAAGTTTTCCTGAAGACAACCAGAGACCACAGCCTCAGCCAAGGACTGCAGACCTTGCGTAAGTCATTGCCATGGCCTGACAACTTCTCTTGAAAGACCCAAACTACCCACACAGACGGAGTAGGGGGAAGTGATCTACTGGCACTGGGAACCCAGGAAGTGTGAACGCATCCAATCTATAGCTCTTGCTTGTAATAATTTGGCACAAGTGCACACAAAGCTGTTAACCATGGCTACTTCTGGGGGAAAAAAGGGGGTTTGGAGAAATGAAAGTCACTCGATACTCTTCTCCACGTTTGAATCTTTGTTTTTTTTTAAATTTTTAAAACATTTATTAATTTCCTTTCCTTTTTTTAAGAGAGGGAGAGAAACATTGATTTGTTGTCACTGGTTGATTTCTGTATGTGCCTGGACCAGGGATCAAACCCACAACCTTGGTGTATAGGGACGATGCTCTGAGTTATCCAGCCAGGACTAAATCTTTAACAAATATTTTTTTGCTTAAAAAAGAAGAAAAAATAACACAGCAAAACTCAGAATAACTTAGCAGCTTTAACCAGTACCTGTAAGTTCTAACCAAACGAGCCACACCAGGTAGGGCTGCTTTTAGATGAAATTTATAGTCGGTCCCGAGATCTTCAGCTGGGTTCCAGAATCTGCCACTCTGGCCCACCCTGGGGCCACTGCTCTGGTTCAGAACTGGACTCTCTGTCACCTGACCATCCAACAGCCTCCTTGGGATCCCCCTGCCTCCAGGGGAGCCCTTTCCAACGCATCTGCTACATCAGCCACCAGAATGAAAGTTTTTATCATTGCTCTGGCCAAAAACCTTTCTCGACTCATTACCTTTAAAATAAGGTCCAAAGGCTTAGTTCACAGCCTACTTCCATCGTTACTTACATTCTCAACACCACCACTCCACCCTTCCCCCATTCTCCATTCTAGCCACGTGGATTATTGCTCAGAAAGCCTCAGTGCCTTTGCACAAGCTCTTGTGGTTCCTTAGAATGTCGTTTCCCTCAATCCTTTTATCTCCTGGGAAACCAGAACTCATTTTTGAGGGCTGGGTGGCCCGGACAGACTTAGTCACCCCTCTTACAGGCTGAAGCAACTATCAGTATCACACGATTGTGTCGCCCACTACAGATGGGAGGTGTCTTGAGGACAGAGAGCGTTATCCTCCTTGGTGGCTCTTGGGCCCTCACAGGACAAGGCACTGGACCCAAAGAGGACTGAACCAAGGGAGCAGGGAGGAAGGAAATGCCACAGAAGGCAAACCCTGCGGCCTCCCCTCCAGAGAGCTGCCTGCTCTCCCAAGTTCATGTCAGTCCCTAATAAAAAAGATCGGAAAATTCTGGAGTAAAGTTTCCTTCCCTGATTCACACGGAAACCCTCTTTGCTGCTGTGTAACTCACTCTGGTGCCAACTCAAGCTCTCCCGGCTGTTTACAATTTCCCTGGCATTTATAAATAGCGAGGCCTCAGAAAGGAAAATGCAGTTTCAAGGGAGCTGGATGCCCACCATCCCCCCTCCCACCTTTCCTACTCCCTTCCAAGCCTCTTCCCCTTAACACCCCCAAGAAACACCAATCAGCACTCCCAAGTGTGTGTGTATGGGGGGGCAGTAGTCAGTCCCTTAGTGAATGGAACACTCACGAAAGAGTCTAAGGTCCCACCAGCTGCAGGGAGTCAGCTGGAACTGGGTCCCAGGCCTGCCCCCTCCTCCCTGTGTGACTACCAGCCTGTCGCAAATGCTCAGGGCCCTTCGGTTCTATCAACTGTGGAGCAGGGTTGGGGTCAGACCTCAAGCTATGCTCATGGGAAAGTGGAATGCTGCATGAGGTGACGGTGCCCTGGTCAGAAATGTGGTCCTGGGAGAACGGGATGTGCAGGATTAAGTCTTTCAGAAGTGCTCCAGGCAGCTCAGAAGCAGGACCTCCCCCTGCAGCCCTGCCTTCCACAAAGCCCCAGTTACCTTCAGCACAGCTCTGAATGCCTTTGGCTCTTCAGTGCTCTGGGCAGATGAGGGGCTACAAAGCATGTCCCCTGCCTACCCAAAGATTCCGAGGGCTCAGGCTTGCCCTTGGGCATGGCCCAGGGCAGCCTGCTTGCCCTGGAGGAGTCAGACCCTTCGCAATCAGGTCTGGAGTGATCAGACCTGAGACCAGATGGGGGCCCAGGGAGAAAGGGAGACTCCAATCACGGCCTTCAGCTCTGAAAGGAGTTTGCCTGTGTCAGGGAAGGGGACAAACACGCAGCTGCAGAGGAGACAGCATCTCCAGGTAGCAAATGCAAGCTTTCAGACGAGCACAGGGAAAACTTTCTAACAGTGCTGGGTCCAGAAAGAGGAAGGAGGCTAAGGGATCCCCGTCGCCCAGGATGAGCAGGCAAAGGCACTATTACCCTGCAGTCAAGGATCCGTCGAGCGGGTTCCCCAGCGGAGCCGCCGCCCACACCTTGGACGAGCAGCTACCTGCAAGCCGGGGTCAGATACCAGGAGCGCAGTGGTGACCCCGGGCCCAGTTCCACCAGCTGTGGGGGCGGGATCAAGGTTGGCTCAGATGCTTGGGGCAAAGCGGGGCCCGTGATTGGGGGCCCGACCCCCGCTCCTCTCCCGCCCTAGCCCCCCAACCCAAACTTCCTTGGTCCTCTGAAAGATGACCTAAGTTAGAGAGGGAGCCCTTTTCCCCCGGTGCCCCAGGCCGAGCTCCAGGCGCGGGCGAGCTGGGACCGGGCGGGGAGAAAGAAGCAGCACCCGGATACCCGAGATCCCCAAATACCCGGGGCCGGGGCCGCCCCCTTCCCCTACCTGCTGCTGCGGCACCGGCGACGGCGGCTGCTGGGTCCAGCTGTGCTCAGCTGGTTCCGGGCAGCGGGGCGGGAGCGCTGCGGCTGCTCGGTGGGGTGGGCAGGGCGCGGGCCAGAGCCGCCTTCGGGGCGGGGCGGCAGGGATGGGGGTGTTGAGGGGGAAGGGACCGGGAGGAGCACCGGCCCCTCCCCTCGCCGGGAGAATGGCGACTCTGCCTTCAGGCTAACCTTCTTCGAGTGTCTGCGAGAGTCGCTTTACGGACCGCTCGCTACCTGCCGGAGGAAGGCATCAAGCTCCCTCCTTTACGAGGAAACTGAGGCCCGGAGCACGCAGGAGAGAGCCGCAGGAGCCTGGGGGCGGGGTGAGAAGACCCCGCGGAGCGCGGGGGCTGGGCTGGGGCCGGAGCGCTCCCTGGGGGTGGGCAGCCAGCCCGGTTGCACTGGGACCAGCGGGGACGTGTTTCAGCCCGCGCGAGGTCCGATTGGGGGGGCACAGCCCTCAGCGGGTGAAACCAACTACTCGCAAAAGCAGGGAAGGTCTGCGAAGAGCGGCTAGACCCACTGAAAGGAATAAATGGGAAGGAGGATTCCCAACTTCATTCAGCACGAAGAAACAGGAAATGCCAACGCGCGTCCCTGCCCTTAAGTTAAAACCACGATCGGAGGCTTTGCTGTCAGGCCGCGGGGTCGGAACTCTTGACACTAGTCCTGTAACTTCAGGCAAGTGACTTAACCCGTAGACGTCTCCATTTCCTCTCTGTAAAACTGCGTCTTGGTGGGGCGGTTGGGAAGACTCAGTGAGAGAAAGACTCTTAGCACAATGGCAGGTACTGTGGGTTCTCTATAAATGGAAGTTTTTGCTAGTGTGATGGCAGATATTATTCTAGGTGAGTCAGCAAATCCACATTGTCAGGCAGATTTACGCAAGGTAATGTAAACAAGTGTCTTTTTTTTTTCTCAACAGCACCTCACATGCATTTGAGAGAGAGCCATCTGTGACGGAGGGGGGCCTAGCACAGCAAACGTGGGTTCCCCCCGGGGCTCTTGCAGCCGCTCTGTGGCTCCAAGTCAGGAGACTCACACAACAGGAGCCCGGACCAGGTGACCAAGATGTCCCTTCTCAGTGTAGGTGCTGGCCGCAGCCACATGTCCTCAGCTGGATTAAATCTCCCTCTAGCACAGGATAAAATGCACCGACTCAATCACTGCGGGCTGCTGGCCATCAGAGTCACAAAAGTAAAGAAGCAAGAACAGAGCCCTCAGTTCCTGGTTTTTCCTACGAGTGGCAGCCAGGGAAGCCACAGGGCCTGGGGAACCCCAGCCTGCCACTGCGCCCCACCCCCACCCGCACACAAGGCGGGCATTACCCCGTGCAGTTTTCATTTGAGGAGGCCAAGGCCTAGAGGGTTTTAAGTCGCTCTCGGAGCTCACACAAGTGACGCCACACATGCCTCAGTCTTTGGCCCTCTCTCCTTTGCTCAATGTCCTTTGTCACACTCTGTCATCCTTCCTGACTTGGGAAACTCGGTCCAGTTCCACTTTCCCTCAGAACTAAAGCAGGGTGCCCACCCCCCTAGAGAGGCTCATACCTTCTCTCTGCCACTCTCTGCTTTTTCCAGAGGCTTCCTGGGACCCACTGCAGGGCAAGTGAGGAGAAAAGCAGAAATGCAGACTGTTTGGCTCTGAGCTCTTTGATTACAATCTCCGGCGTACACATGTCCTGTTATTATCTAACATATCATTTCCAACCCCAGCAACTTCTCCGAGTCAAAGATAAACCTCTGAATCTGTGTCTCCATCAGACTGGAAAATAGCGTACTGGGATGGAGGAAACGCTGGAGAACATCAGGTCCAACCCCTCACGGTGGAAATGGGGAAACCGAGGCCAAGAGAGGCGAGGCTTGCACGCATAACACTGTGATTGCTGCAGTCAACACTAGAAAAGCCTGCAGCCTAGGCTGCCACCAGAAAATCGTTTAAAATAATAATGATGACAGTGATGATGATGACAAATACTTATATTGGAGGGCCAACCAAATTCCTAGTGCTTTGCTTTCCTTATGGACACGTGACTTCCACAGCTGGTCAGGATCTATCTTGGCCTGACCTTTCAGTCCGGGTTAAGCCTACCTTGCATGGACGCTTAGAAGTCCTTTCTGCCTTGGTGTCTTACTCTTATTCCTTTCTACACTCTTTGTACTCCTCTCCCCACCGGGTCTCAGCACCAGTGAAGCCTGTCTGCCCTGGTCTCCGCCTTCAAAGTGAATGTCTTCTTGTTCTTGCTGACACGGGTCTCCGCTCACGGAAGAGTTCTGATGCGTCTTTTTGCCAGAAGATCACCTCCTCCCGGAGAGTGAGGAATTGGGCCACAACCAGGCCATGCAGTAGACGATTTGGGGGTGCCTGGTCCTCTCTTCCGAGAAGGCCTCTCTGCACCCACAGGGACCCATGTTTTCATTATAACCCCCACCCACCCCAAACACAGTTGGCAGCATGAGGAGAAGTCACTGGAACCAAGCTGGACGGACTATCAGAATTTGAAATTAGAGTTTGGGACATAACAATTTTGAATAATTAACCAGGCCTGTGAGGACTGGTCATCTCTGCAGGCTAAGGCCACCATTCTGAAGTAGGCATCATCCGCAAAGAAACCCAGTGCGACCTTCGCTAAATGTCTAGCTAGGTAGGTGTGGAGAAACTCAGAGCAGAGAAGGCTGGGCCGGCCAGGGGAGACTTGTGGATCCGTGGGGCTTTTTGGGTGCAGACCTCTCCAGAAGCTAGCTTCAGAAAGGATACGTGTTTATTGAGCATCGAATGCCTTATAGCAAGATCCCAGAAGCAGAGCACAAGGCAGGAATTTTGTGCCGAGGATTAACTGAGTGCTCTCGGGAGAGCCTGGAGTACCCCCAGAACCCTAGGGCACAGATGCAGCCGGGCCTCAGGGTCAGACCGGAAGCAGGACCTGAGTACTAAAGGAACCCCAGAAGGTGCCGGGACTCTCACCCCAGCTGTCTCTCTGTCTCACATCAGACAAGCACTTCTGCTTTGATCGGCAGGGAGCTGAAATCTTTGTGTGTGACCTACAGGCTAACTTGGGCCAGAGGCCTACCTGTTATCCAATGGACTCTAGCCGGAGGGGCAGGGTCACACTGCACGGACCTGGCTGCTCGCACCGGAACTTACGGATAGAGAGAAAATGGGAGGGGACACCGGGCAAAGAAGACAAGCCTCGCTGTGCAGAAGGGGCAGTTGGCCTTGGAAGGAAGGAAAGCAGAAGGACGGAGGTGAAGAATGGGATGGCACCTTCTGCTAAGGACACAGAACAAGCACAGGTGTGCGGGTTGGAGGAAGACGGGCCTGGAAGGAGGGAAGGAGCGCGTTGTTGGCCCTGGCCTGGGCCCCTTCAGAGGTGCGCTAGAACCAGCTTGCAGAAGCGGCTATTAAATTTCCAGGAGTTTTTCTTTCCTTCCTTCTTTTTTTTTTTAATTGTTGTTCAAGTACAGTTGTCTCCATTCTCCCACCACCACTTTCCCCTGCCTCACCCAACCCCACCTCCCATCCTCAATCCTACCCCCCTTTGACTTTGTCCATGGGTCTTTTATACATGTTCCTTTCAGGGATTTTGACAGCTAGTTGTTAAACACAGCCTTCAACAAAAATTAATTTACATGAACTTGTAATTAAACAAATTATAAAATATAGCTAATCCCTCCTCAAAACTAATCACCTAAATATTTTTACTATAATGTTATCTATGCTCTTCAGGTTATTTTAGCTATTTATCTATATAGTAAAAATGCCACATAATGGCATGCTACTTACTGCACATCTCTTCCCAATTCCATCCTCAGTAACATCACACGGGGAACCCGAAATCAGCCATGGGGGGAGTATTTACACCACAGACATCAGCAAAGGCTACAGATCAGGGCTTCCTTCTCCCTGACCCCCGAGCCTGCTGTTAACATTTACCAGCACACCACTCCCCAATACCTGGGTTCCCCCATGTATCCCCTCTGCATGGAGGTCGCCTGTTCATGTGTATCTCTCCCTCACTGACTGGGAGCTCGGAAAAAGAAGAGAGTGTGTTTGCTTGGTGTTTTAATACATCGCTAGTGTCAAATACTGCCTAACGCAGAATGGATGCTTAGGAAATCTGTATTGAATTAATCAGTACATGAGGGAAAGGAGAGCTGAGTTTGATCAGATAATGTGAGTTGGGACGCATCAGAAGGACTCAGGGGAGGGCTGTGCTTTGAGTTCCAAGAGCCGCCAATCCTAACATCTGACTCTCCGGGCAGGAATGTGTTTGTCCCATCATTTTCATGAGAACTTAGAAATATGGGTTCCATACAATCGCTGTCAGCTCAGCCATAAATCCCACAGTTGTTGCATTTCCACACGGTTGGATTCCTAGCAGGCACGATCCCACAGCTGTGCTCCATAACAAACGCCAGTCAGATGCCGGGCAGCCTGAGCCTGACGGAACTAGCAAAGGCACCCAGACCCCTTCCTTTTTCCACCAGGCTCGTCCCTGCTGGCCGCGGCTACACGCAGCCGGCCCTATGATAACGGCACTCATGGTAAAAACAACTAAAATTGTAATGATAACAACCAGTTTTTAAACACTTATTATATGCTGGCTGCATTATAATTTCAATTAAGCCTTTAGGTTAGGTACAATCTCCAATATTTCAAATAAATAAACAGGTAAGTAACCCACTTAAGCCTGCAGATCCGGGTGAGCAGTACACTAGGATCTGAACACCGGTCAGTTGCCAAAGCCCAGAGCCTTTCAACAGCGAAAGTGGAAGAGAGTGGAGAGGAAGGTAAGGCCTCTTCCACGCCTCCCATTCAGGATCAGGAATGACTTAATTTCATCTCGACAGCATTAGGGTCTGAGGTTAGTCCCTTCCCTCCACACTTCATGCACTGATGTATGGCATGCCACTGTTTCTTTATATGGGCGTTATTTGGAGTCGTTGAAGAAATGTAGACCTATTTTAAGAAAGATTATAAACTCCTGTGCTGTAGAAGTAAAATTAAAAAGTTATTCATAAAACCCCTTCAACATGCGCCAAAAACAATTTCCAGGCAGTGCTATTTTTGTATTCTTTTATACTGGACCCAGAAAAGAAGTTCATGTTCTCTGTCTTTTCCTTACTTATTGTTTACTTACTGCTTTTCTGAGCACCAGCTATGTGCGAGCCCTGTGCTCGGCGCTAAGGGCATGCAAATGAATCAGCCGCAGACTCAATTTTCGCAGGGTCTGTGGCCAAGGAAACAGACCTTTACAATAGGGTGTTATGGGAACTGAGACAGAGGAAGCTCTGGTGGGGATGAGAGACTGGGCCCAGGCACAGCCAGGGTCCCCGGAGACTGCAAAGGAGGAGGTGAGCAGGGCCTTGGAGGATGCCCCTCTGTGCCTCATTTTCCTGATCGGATCATCATGTCCATCTCAGAGAGTTGTGGGTAAAGGAGATTGTCCCTGTCACCTGCTTGCTGCAAAGAGTGGGGCATAGAAAGAGCTCTGTGAACAGTAGCTGGCGTCATTATGGAAATGCTGTCCTGTTGGGAAAGGCACAGAGGTGTTAAGATGAGTGAGCGTGTCCCGGGTGTCTGGGATGCAGGGCACATGGACTGACTTAGGGAGATGAAACCAGACAGCAAGAGGATTTCAGGAGAGCAAGAGGATGACAGGATTTAGGGGGGCCTGCCCCAGGCCTTATCTCCTTCAAATCTGACAACAAATTCCTCAGGTTGAACGACTCTCACTCCCAGTTTGCAGATGGGGAAACTGAGGCTGAGCCAGGTGAAGTCACTTGCTTACGTAGCACAGCTGGGAAATGGCAGAGCTGAGAACCCAGATTCGCTGCAAAGCCACCGTCTCCCACGTGGGGCTGAGAACATGTCGGACTGAAGGGACGGGGTTGGGGGGAAGCTGTCAGAGGCTCTCCTGCAGGAGACTGACACTGTTGGAGCCTGATCAAGAAGTTTCTCCAGAGGGGCACAGGGACCCGCTGGCCTTCTCGCAGCCCGGGCCTGCCAGGGATTTAGCAGGCAGAGCTAGCTTTTGTTCTGGATGAATCAGCCCAGCTGTTTCTGAAAGCCCTGCCCCACTCCTCTGGGCTCAGCGACCAGAAGGCATTCAGCTGTCTCTGAAGGTCACCAGTGGAGTGGGAGGGGCCAGTACTTGCACATTGGACTGCAGCGTTTACAGAGCTATATTATCACAACACGGAACAATGGGCTTTTCAAAAGTTAATCTCCCTTCTCCACTCTCCTCCTCTTGTACTTTGCTCCTCCTCCTTTCCCTTCTCCCCAGTCTTTTGGGCTTCCCTTTTTCTTTTCTTCCCTCTTCCTCTTCCTTGTTTCTTATCACTATTTCAGCAGTGGCAGCACTTTGCTGGAGTCTAAATATCCTCGCCCAAGGAATTAGGACCTCCAAGTCTACTCCCTACCTGCCTCTTTCTTACAGGATGATCCTGGGCAAGTCACACTCCTCTCAGCCTCCACTGTCTCATCTGCAAAGTGGGACAACAGAGGTAATGATTTCTAAAAGAGGTTATGCCTGGCTCATAATACCAGGAGCTTTTCCAGTCCCTGGCTCTACTGCACGGGGCTCAGCATGCATGTCCTGGCCCAAGGAGAGCCAGAGGGCATCTGCCTGTGAGGTCTAGTAGACTGTCCTTCAAAGCATTTGACTTTAAGTCAAGTCACTAGAGGCCTTATTTTACATCTCTAATGTATAAGAATGTCTCCAAAAACTCTCAGGGCGAATGCAATCACTTTGAGTCAATTTTTCCTCAAATCAAACCACGGGCTTGAGAAACCCAATGCCTGATTAAGAGAAGTGAGACGTTTTCTGGGAGGAGCTTTCGTCTTCTCCTGAAGGCACCCACACTCAGAGGCCGATGCAGCCCCAGTAGCGGGTCAGTCTGCACCCACACCGAGCAGGCAATCTGAAGTGTCACTTTCTCCCTGTGCACCAGTCTTGCTGTTTTGACCCTGACCTCAGGCGGTTGACCCTACAGGCCCAGTCCTTGGGCAGACGCCAGGTGCCTCGGGAGCTGTCCAGCAGCCTCACCGCTTGGCCCAGGCCCTGTGTCCAGTTTCTCACACAGCCATTCTCCGAGTTCCAGCCTGCCTGGAGCTCCACATCAAAACGTGTCTCCATATACATCATTAGGGACTCCAAACCTCCCCCATTTTTGTCTCCTGGTGCCCTACATGTCCCCCTGCAGGGTCGAGGGAGCAACTTTTAGGTAGTTAAAGGTGAGTTACTGCAAAAGGACATTTAATTTCATCTTCCCCTGGAGTCAAAGAAGAAAAAGTTAAATCTTCAGCGGGCAACCTGTCACCCTCTCTGTTAAAGTATACGACTTAATCGTGGCATGAAACACACTGATACCGTCTGGTTTTAGGCACCTGTGGAAAGCTCTGGGAACCTTCTGTGCCCAGGCCAGAGGTTGGCGAGCTCCACATTTCATCACCAGTCAGACAAATGCCAAGCTTCTGTAGCCTGGCCTTGGTGGCCACACGTGACCTGGAGCTGCATTCTCTCTCCAGCTTCACCTTGCCCCACCTGAACCCCGTACCCCGCTGACCGCCCCCAACAGACCCTGTTTTCTGTCACCTTGATACCTCCAAACCTTTGTACCCCAGTTCTGTCTCTTAGGATTGCCCATCTTAACCTATTCAACTCTTCCTTACCTTTGCGGGCTCAGTGTTCGAGGCGCCTCCTTGGCAAAGCGTCCCCTGCCTCCTCCAGAGGCCGTAACGTTAGCTGCCCCTCTGTGCTCCCACAGTCCCCTTTGACGACTGCATCCACAGCACACCCTGGACCACCCTACCAAAATGAGCTCCCCTGTCCTCTTACTCTTCGTCCCAGAACCCCATTAATTCCCCTATAAATGGTGGTGTTTGTAACGATTTAGCTACCCGGTTGTTTCCTGTCTCCCCCACTAGCCTGTGGGCTCCCTGAGGGCAGGGCCAGATATTCCCTCCTTCCTGCCTGTGAAGGTGCCCAGCACAGCGCCCTGGACAGAGCAGACCCTCAACACGCACGTCTTGAACGGAAATGGCACTGCATCACGCTGTGTCACAGTCATCTGTGTGTTTCTAGCTCTACCAGCAAACCCCCTGTGCCCAGCACAGAATTCAGCACACGTGAGGAGACTAGCCAATGTGGAATAAGTGCATTTCTAAGTGAATTAAATGAATAAAGAGAAGAACTAACGTGAAGGCAGGGTGAGCAAATGATCACATAAAGGGATCCCAAGTAACCTTTCTGAAACAAGTTGATAGCTGTGACTTTCACTGTTTGAAATAAATATAAGCCTCCTGCCTTGCTTCTGTTCACTTGCACTGCTGAAAAAAATTAAGAATGGAGTTGGTCAAGGCTAACCTTTAAAAAACAATCACCACAGAAATCTAATGACTGGAGTAGCCTTTTCATGAATAGGCAAGACATCGATATCAATTTACATTAATTAGTAAGGCTAAGATGCCCTCTCAAAATGTCCGCTTCCTTAACCTTCTAGATTTGTATCAAATATCACCTCTTGGTGTTTCCGAGTTTCATATTTTGAAAAAGTTTGAGTCACTGTAGCAACACTGAACTGTGTGAGCGTGTGTGTGTGTGTGTGTGTGTGTGTGTGTGTATTAAGGGGAAACT